CGGTTGATGTGACGTGCGCGCACTTTGCCTTCCATCTAGCGCGAGAAAGTTAGTGCACACACATATTGGCCAAGGGATTCAACTCAGAAGAGACACACATTTTTGACCGTTGAATGAAGAATTATATATACTAAAACTTCTGAACAGTTAATCAATTTTTGATATAAATTTTTTTCCTTCGTCTCTATCTATCTCTCGTCAGCGCAGAATAAACAGGAAAAAAAGCATCACAAATCCCTCCTCACTTAATTCACATAGCAAAATATCATTTTATAACAAATGTGCCATGGTGTGCGTTGCTGACACATCAATTTGTTAGAGAAAAACTATCGCTTAAACAACGGCTTGGGATACACTCGAGCAACGAAACTAGAGCGAAGAAGGAGCACGAAAAAATGTCATTTTCTTTGAAATTGCCATTCGTGTTAAAAGATATTTTTTTTTTGGTTTTGTCGCTTGAAAATAATATGCATATATTTCGTACTGTTGATCTCGTCCACTTTTTATCTTGCCTTATCAGTATTTTCATCTGTCTCTCTCGTTCACTCAACTTGATGACATTTTGCGGACACAAAGATTAAGTGCCATCAATTTATTCTTCGCCTCCATTCCAACGTCCAACAATTACACCTCGTTGTATTTTGTGTTTATGCGTGCGCTAGCGTTTTTTTTTCTGCTTCTTCTTTTTCTATGATAAATCAGTAAATTGTGAACAACATTCGAGCATCGAATTTTTTTTTTCTATGCTATTGAAATTTGTTCGGCAAAAAATTTTTTGAGTCAGACTACCCAATTTGAAAATCTCTATTTGTCTCATAGCCGTCATGTTCGTGCCAATTTTTGTTGGTTCAATTGCAAGAAAGCACACGATTCCGATTGAATTGGCGCAATTAGAAGCTAAACGTCTTAAGTGAAGACTTATTTCGTGATGGATAAAATACACTAACAAGCGATTAATTTTTTTCTTTCTTGAAGTTTTCCTGCCATTGCTGTTGTTGTTGTTTCTTAAGTTGAAGATTTAATCATCAGATCAACTTCAATTATGCAACATTGAATAGCCAATTAAAATACACGTTCCAGAAAAATTACACAAAAACATAGACACGAGCATTTCTAAAAATTGCTGAAAATTTCCATTGCTTGCCATTGAATTTGGTTGTTCGTCATTCCGGGTTCTATTCATGGCGATAAATTTCTGGCCACATAAATTCTACACTTGACAAGATTGCTGCTGCTACTGCTAAAGTTGTCAAGCGCAAGGAATGAATGTTTGTTTTCAACGTCGAAAAAGCGAAAAAGACACATTTTCTCGTGCTGTGACATTGCCACTCGATTTTTAAAGCCCTTAAGATTTTCACTTAATTTCTCGTGCAGAAGAATGCGTAGTATCTTTATGTTGAAAATAGAATGTTGAATCAACACACACACATACACGCGAATAAATACTTCCCCTTTGCACGCAAGTCGATTGGTTTGAGAGGCACAGTAGTCAGTCCACAGTAAAGAATGATCATGTTAAAGAGAATTATAGCATTTTGAGGGTATTTGTGGATTTTTTAAAAATTCATTTACACGAAGTTGGAATTTTTTTCTCAGCATACACAAATGTACATCGTTAAATCTCATCGTGGTCATGTTAATGGCAGAAAATATCATGAAAACACGGTTCTCGTGCCTTTTTTTTACGAAAACTTTTCGCAAGCACATATTTAAAGGGAAAAAAAATGAACCGATAAAAAACGCACGAAAATTCACTGCGAAATGAGTGTAGCGTAAATTGTTCATCCAAAAATGTTGGAAACGATGTGTGCCAAACTTCAACTTTGAATTGCATTTATTCATGAATGCTAATGAGAGATGTTAGTGTTGGGTGCGCCGCACCGTTGTATCGTTGCCGTAATAGATTCAACTTGAAAATTACTTGATAGTACTTGCTTCAATTATGTTTCATTTCATTTGAAACGCACTTTTCTCGCTCTCTAGCTCCCTCTTTCTCTCTCTCCGCATTTTATTGTAACATTTTAAGACTTTTCTCTCGTCTTGTGTCGACGCATTAAATATGAATGACGTTTAACTACATTCTGAAATTATGATGTGTGTTTTGTGGAAATTGGGTGGGAAAATGTGTGCTAGCTTGATCAGTGTGTTATTGTTGTTGTTAAGAAATCGAAAATTACACAGTCGGTTTGTGAAAGTTCTGCAATCGCATCGTTTCCATGAGACTGTACACGATGGGCTGTTGTTTATTTCATCGGTTAGAATTAAAACATTCCACCACATTTATCACCACATTCGTTAAGGAAATTGATAAATCTTTGAAATAAACTAGTTGTTGAGGCTTTTTCGGAGCTTCTGCATACGCAGCAAGTATTGGAACAAGACGACGATTATAGTGTTCGAAATCAGACTAATGATTGTGTTACGTGTGCAAAAATATCGATTGGAATTGGCAAAGGAGACAAAAGGGGCCGGATAATTTGCACGGGATTGAACCATTATTAGAGTGATAGAAGGTGGAGGCGATTTAACAACCGACGAAAAATGGCATGTAATCGAAATCGAAATGCACACCAAATGCCAGCCGAAAAAAAAAATCATCAAGAGACGTCTACGTTTTGCGTGGAATTGAGTTAAAGCCGAGAATTGTGATCGCACCATTTGGGTTGCTCGTCATAAACTGTGTGGCATGGTAGCAATCCGCCGTCACCGTCATCACCGCCACCAAATCCGTTGATTTCGATTCGGCTATATCTTGATCAAATAATGACTTTGGACAATTTATTTGCCGTTTACTTGATTTCACAGCTCGCCATCGCCGTTGCTCTCTCTCTCTCTCTCCCCCTCTCACTCTCTCGGCTGTCGGGTCTCTGTCTCTTCTCGTCACTCGCATCGTCTATTCCTCGGGTGTCATTTGCTGCTTAAACTTTTTATCTTCGTTCAAATTCAATAGCGCACGTCACACGAGACGAGAGCATCATTAAATAGAGCATTTTGAAATTTGCTGTGTGCATGTTACAAGTTTGAAAACTGAATGACTTGAGCGTTCAATGGATCACGTACGTTGTGTTCGCGTATACTATATTATTCTACTTCGTTTGTTCATTCGTGTCTTGATTATTATTTTTTTTTCTCTCTCTCACTCATCATATTCCCCCGGCCCTATTCGTGATCAACTTTGCGCTTTACACTCTTGTTTCTTTGATCTCATGAAATGTTTTCGGAATCACACACAGGAAGAGTGAGAAAGGGAATTAGATAAGGAGACAGTAGAAATGAGTTGCACACGCATTCGCCTTTTGATTTTGGTCACGAAACAAAAAAAAACAACAAAAACACTCTCACCACCACTGCTGCAGATCAATAAGTGTCTTTGAAAATCACAATAATTGCTCAATAATTCCCGCATATCGTCGACGTTGACAATTTTCACAATCACATGCTTCGGACACATAATTTCGCTCTCTATCTATCTCGCTTTCTCTCTCTTCCTCCCTACTCGCGCACACACACCGATCATTGCCGTCACCGTCGTCATCGCACACTATCCACAAATTCTGTGTATTTTTTTTTCGCTTCATCCGTTTCTTTTTCCCCAATGCTCCAAATGGATTTATTAATTAAACGTTGATTTCCTCGCTTCAAATGCGCTTTCGCGGCATGAATCTTATATAGATATATAAATAAATTATTGTCTCTGATGTTTTGGATCATATTATTGAGTGTGCGTTCAAGTGCTGTGCTGTTGTTCACACCATTCAATTGATTATGTTTATGCTGTTGTCGTCACAACTAATTTTGTCTTAGCCATTTTATGGTCGAGCTTTGATTAGTTTATCGTATGAAAAAAATGAAACAGACGAATCAAGGGAGGAGGAGCAGAACGCATCACAAGGACGACATTCATTGTAAACTGCGTCAACTTTCTTCGCTTTGGTGCAACAACAGTTATTTTTTTTTGCTGTTTCTTCTTTTGTATATTATAAAGTTTTCAAAACAACCATCACAAACACCACAAAGCACCGATTTCCTATCATTGAATCGACTCTGCTTACATCGATAATTTTGTGATGGTGCTCTTTTTTGTTGTTGGCATCTGTTGAAAGAACATGACTGACATTCATAGTTATTTTCTGTATGAATCCGGTTCTTGTTGTTCATCGTTCAATTTGAAACGTAATAAAAATGGATGAATTAATTATCATGAAGGTGGGGCGAAAAAACGAAATATAAAGAAACCAAGTTCACGAACATGTAAATATTGTTAAAATACCACCGGATATCTAAACTTTATCTAAATAATATCTAATTCTCTTTTTTTTTCTGCGGCCCTATGTTGCTTCCTACGGGAAGAAAAATGTACGCGCAAATAAAAGAGAAAATATTGTAAGTCATACACGATGCGCGTGTTGAATGAATGAATAAAATAAATGATGTCAATTAATCACAATGATGAGAAAGTACTTTTCTCCCTATGTTCGTGTCGCCTACAAAGACATTAATACAAACACAACCTGAATCTAACGAACCCCGTCGTATATATACGGACTAAATTGTCTGTAAACGCCGAGTAAACCTATTTTCATGTAAACACTGTTTCGTTTCCATGTAATTACTATGTGTTCCCTTATATTTTTTGTTTCTTTTTATTTTGACGAGGACCGGAGTGAATACCTGAGCAGGCGAATAAAATTCCAAACTAAATAAGATGACTTGTGTGAGCTGCATCAATCATCCAAAAAAAGTGTTATTACCGCTATTGATGTTTTGTGCGCGCGGTATTTCATATCTGCACCATATTCAAAGGTTGTTGCCTTTTTGAAATTCCAACAAACCAACCAAAAGAACATTTTTGAATTATTTCCGGCGTTGTTCATTTCATTTGTTTTTTATTTTTGGTTTTCCCTATCCCCATATCTTGTTGGGTATACCAAAAAAAAAAAAATTGGATGGAAAAGAAATATCAATCAACAAATAGCAATTTGATTTATGTTTACACTTACACTTGCACAATAAACAATATCAGGGACACCGAACAACTTTCCTCCGACAAGTCGAATTCTACAAGCAACGAATAACAAAATTCGTTGGCTTTCCGTTCCGTTCCTGTTCCGTGTTGTTTCGGAAAATACCCAAATTTATTCAAACTGTGTTTATTGTTTATAATTTTTTTGAATCCATTTAAACTTTGCGCGACGTGTTTTCTACGTATTTTGGATTTTATTGCAACTATTTTTCGTTCTGTACTTTTTTAATCTTTTTTTTTCTCTGTTGTTGATGATTCGTTTTGATTCGAAAGTGGTAATACTTTTTTATTTTTGGATGCACTTATTCCAATTGATAACTATATATTTCATCGAGGTTAAAAGCAAATGAGAAAAAAATATATATAAAAAAAATCAAGTTTAACAAAATTACGACCACACAGCTTAACGACAAGCTCTCAACTGACTGAATCGCACTGAATGAATTGCTAAAGCATTTGTGCGCCGTTTGGATGATATGCGCTTTCCATACATCTCATCCCATTGAATGGTACGAGAGTTGGTCTCTCTCTCTCTCTCTCTCTCTCTCTCTGTGTGTGTGTGTATGTGAGTGTTTCGAGACGCTATCGTTTGTGTATGAGTACAGACTCGTGCTTAAGTACAATCTAGTTGCTTGCTTGCTTGTTTCTACGTTGTGTGTGCGTGTGTGTGTGTGTGTAGTTGTGAGTGTTATTTTTTCTTTCTCTCTCTCTCTCTCCACTTGATACTGTTGCGTTTCGCATTGTCATACACAATGAAGACACTGAACGAAAAATTATTGGATAAGGGAAGCGCAACCAACAAGCCAACACGGCTACGGATAGGAAACAGGATTTGGTGGAACGAAGCAGAAAAAAAGCATTGAGTTTGAGGCACAAGCACATCGACACATGCTATCCATGCAGCCAGCCAGCCCGCCAACCATCGAGTCAGCTATACAAGCAGCAACAGTGTGGCTCGTGTAGCTTTTCCACCAATACACATGCACAGCAAACACATGTGTTTGTTCTGTGCTTGAAATCAGTTGTCGAGCAAAACGGTGTGTTGTGCCTTCGTGAGAACACCATATCGCATTTGAAATGCGGTGTGGTAGCACGCACATATTCGATTACGTTTTAACCGTTCATGGAAATCGAAATTTAGGGGAAAATATATGTATAAACAGTCATGGACAAAATTGAGTATACGATCCGATCCATCTATAGGGGTTTCATATAAAAATTTCGTGTATTTTTTAATGCTTTTTCAATCAGGCAAAAGCCTCAATTTATGCCAAATAGTGTAAACTAAGCACCCAAAAAAGATTTTCAATGAATATAATGTAGGGGGAGTATGTGTAAGTTGACCCACTTTGTAAGTTGACCCACCCAGATGCAGTTCAAAAGATGCGAATCAAAATTAGCTTGTGCATCATACTGCATCCCCACTTTTTCAATTTCTGTGAATTTCCTCTATTTAAACAAATATTAAACGGACCGTATAATTAATTTTGTCCAACTCGAAAATCGCGCTTCTAATTTCAGATTCAAAAAATATCTGGTAAATTACATTATATTCATTGAAAATCTTTTTTGGGTGCTTAGTTTACACTATTTGGCATAAATTGGGCCTTTTGCCTGATTGAAAAAGCATTAAAAAATACACGAAATTTTCATATGAAACCCCTATAGATGGATCGTATACTCAATTTTGTCCATGACTGTACATATAAGGTATATATTCGATGGAGACTCTAATTTACAACAGCACAGAGACGGGCTGAACGAAATACGATAGACGCACGCACACATACGCGCCCACACACATCGTATTTAATTGAGAGCTTCAAAGCATTTGTACGAAAGTTGTTGTTTTTTTTTTCTCATTCAACTTGGTTGAATTTTATACATGCTTCGGGGCGATTGTGAACGCTGATTCGTTCGAAAGTGAAATCCACAAATTGGCGTCGTTTGAATGACTGTTATTTCCGTTGTATCGCCTGTGGAGCAACAGGATGCGCCTTGATCGAACCGAGATACCTCCGCCACCGCTAAATTACATCGATTTCAATACACTCGTTCGCATTATCTATCTATCTATCTTTGCCATGCCTCCGCGTATAATGTCAATCCGTAGGTGAACAATTTTCTCAACAACAAGCGAACAGGACAAAAAGAAACATAGTTGTGTATACCATTTTGAAGGGCGATGAATTGCGGCTTTCTTCTCAATTGAAATTTATTCAAATGAAATCACCACAATTTAAATTGAATCGCTTCAGTGCAACCATTGTTTTGTAGTTTAAAGAGGTCGGTGACGTTTTTTTCCCCCGTTTATGCGACAATAATTTAGTTTTGACCTTTCTTTCGTGCCTTTGATTTTCATAGAAAAACACCCTTTCACTGGAACTAATGTTTTCTACTTCCGTTTTCTTGGTAAACGCCTTGAAAGGCGAACAATTGCCATTGAAGAACCTGAATTGCGAAAACTCACCGTAAAGTTCAGTTGAAAAAGAAAAAAATCGGGCACCTTCTCATGAAATACAAGCTTTTATTCAATATATATGTTACGAAGAAAAAAGAGCAGCGCGTAATTTCCGTTTGACGATTTCGTCTCATACTAGTAGTTGAAATCAATTCCATCGTTTTCAATTTCATCTTTGTCGTCACATCCATCGTGTGATTTCCTCGCAGCAAGTATGTGGATTTTCTTGCCATTTTCGCATGCTACCCATCCTTCCTTTCACCTTTTTTCTCTCTCTCTCTCTCTCTCTCTCTCTCTCTCTCTCTCTTGCGTTTCCCTCCCCTGTGCATCTCGGATGATGCTGTCGCATATCTATCGTGTGATGTAGGTAATAGTAGAATCAGGGAAAAAAGGTCATCTCACCAACAACAAGTGTGTTTTGTGCGCAACTCGTGAAGTCATTTTCCTGAAATAAATTCTTACAGATGTTGATGCTATTGTGTGTTTTTCTTATTTCGAGTGTTGAATTGTATTCCATCCTCTTGTTATTCGGCACTCTTGTTCAACAGCTGAACTCACAACGGCACCAGCACAAAAGCAGCAGCAGCAACAACCACATCCCAACGCAAGAAGAAATGGAAAGCGAGCATTTAGGGCAACGAAATTTCAAGATATTTTCGATTTTCATCTTATGAATCTCGTTCAATGTGAACCAACTCGATGGCACGATAAAATCAATCGCTCCAAACGTTTTGAGCCAACACGATATGCTATTGATAATTTTACTATCTTCTTACTAATTATTCCACCTGAACTTAGCTATTATTTACGCATAGTTGTGCGATATGCTGTCAAAGGTAGACGTTGAAAAACGGTGAATGAAATTTGCTTTGGTATCCACCACATCGATTAAATAATTTAACTTCTAAACTGTTTGAAACTATCAAATGACAAAGCATCGCAAAGTTTTTCCAAAATATTTTCTAAATTGAACACGTTTCGTGGCTCTAAGATATAATAGCTTGTTGCTTCGGGATGTTTTGCAGCAATACTTCTTAATAGTTTAATCGAATATAGCTCAAGTTATGGAAAGAGTGTTTATTTCGGCTGTTTCCTTTCGGGGATCATCTTTCGATGTACAAACAAGTTACGCTTAAGCTGTCTCCTTTTCTTTCTTCTTCTTATTCTCCTTGAGAACGTGAATCAGTGAGAGAGAGAGAGAGAGCAAGAGAGAGGAATGAGCCATGTTTGCAGTTGAAGCAACAAAATCGGAAGTTATTAATGCTCTGAGCTGAACTAATTTTAAAAAAAATTAACTGCAAGAGCGAACACCTTGTTTCCCATTACTTTAATTACGATGCAGGGTGTCGATAATTTGCGCCAGTTCCGAGATTCCAAACGTGCCTGCACTGTAAGTTGGCTTACGATTAGAATGTAAGCACAAAGAAATGAACTACCCATCAGTAGTATATATTTATAGTATAAAGAAAACATTTTCCAAAGAAGGGCAAAAAAGTACTTTCTTTTTAAATGTAATTTAACTAGAAATTAAACAGTGCCGTGATGATATTGAAGCCGTACCACTTCCGTTTCGTTTCGTGTGATTTTGTTGTGCAAAAGTTGAAAACTTTGCAATAGCGACGTTGATGAATGTGGAACGTAGCCTCAAGTCACTCACTGCATTGAACAGCAAAGACATTTTCTCACATTGACAAAGACGCTCTGTGCGTCGGTCGCTGTCTCGCGCGCTCTTTCGGACATATTTTATTCAAAGAGTTGACAATTCCCTTTCACTTGTGTGAAAACAGACATAAAACTGTACATCAAATTTACAATGGAATTTTGTAGCCTAGATTTTGAAATAAACGGTTCTTTATTTTGCTCATATCGTGGTGAATTGTTTCTTTATCGTCATCGCGGTGGAAAACTTCATGGATCTTATCTCGGCGGTTTTGTTTCATTTTTAGCACTACATGAAATGTAGAGCTACTAATCTGCGTTTTTTTTCTAATACTTTTTCGAGCCATGAACAGAATTAAGGTGAGAATACACCTTGCAAGTAAAATGCTTGCAGCAAGCATTTTTTTCCAACGTACTTTTGTATTCGATTCTAAGAATGACACTTGCATGCAAGTAAAGGTAGTGTAATACATTAGTGTAAATTTTGGACAATATTTTTTTCCAAACGTCCACGAGGTAGGTTTATATGATCGATTTTATAAATATATTTAAATATTCGAATAAATTCGATAATTTTAGCACTATATGTTCTTTTTTGTGGGCAGTAGCGCAAAAATTTCGACCAAATTGTATGCAAGTGAAGTACTTGCACGCAAGCATTTGCAAGCACTTTGCTTGCATGGAATTCTGTTCCATATTTTCGTGTATACGTCCACAAAGTAAATTGTACAGTGATAAAATGATCGAATTTCTTTGAACATTTAAATATATTTATAAAATCGATCATATAAACCTACCTCGTGGACATTTGGAAATAAATATTGACCAAAATTTACACTAATGTATCACACTACCTTTACTTGCATGCAAGTGTCATTCTTAGAATCGAATAGAAAAGTACGTTGGAAAAAAATGTTTGCTGCAAGCATTTTACTTGCAAGGTGTATTCCCACCTTTAGAGTGGTTTTCAATTTTATGCTCATATTTTGTATTCAATTCAAACTAGTGGCAGTAACGACAAACAAGTGCATAGTATCTCGAAACGCTAATCAAATTTTTATTACCAAATGTTGTTTAAAATTTACATTACTTTTTCCTTCTTTTGTATAGTATTCTCCGAGTCTTGAGCATAATGAAAGTTAATTTAGATTCTATGGTCATATTATTTATTTAATTTAAAACAGTGGTAGTATCTTTCAAAAAAGAAATCAAACCAAGATCTTGCAATTCATTTTTGAGATAACTGAGAAAATCTTTTTTCTGTATCAACTTTGTTGCAAATATATATCCTTCGTATTATGTTTTTAATCCATAATATTATTAAAAGGGACGCCTTTTAATGATATATTACTGCAAAATTACTTAGATGAAATACATTTCATGTAGTGCGCAAAAAAAGTAGTTTGTTGTGAAGCAACAAAGTAGAATAAATAACTGAAATCTCAAGAACGCAGTGCGGAGCGAAGCGAAGCTCTGCGGTCTTGTTTTCTTTCAAACAGGAGCAGCACACAGTATTTTTGTTGTTTGGTTTTGATGGCCGACAGTCAGAATTCATTTTGCACCTTACACCCCTCTGGGCCAATTTTCCCCTCCATCTTTCCCTTGGCTGCCGCGTTCTTTTCTTTTCAGTAAAAATACTGAAAGTATAGCAATATATATTTAAATTAGCTCAAATTACAGATTAATAATTTATGAAGCCGAACGGAATAAATGTGGTACGTGCAATTTAAAGTGTTGGTTGAAGCGATTGCATTTTCGAAAAACTTCACCGACGCCCGAACAAATTCTTTTTTTAAAAATCGATATGCTATTTCGCAACAGCATGATATACAACGTAAAAGCCACTCACTTTCACAACTCATTTACCGATTTTTTTTTTTTGAATCTCCAGTAATTTCAATTTGATTAACCATTTTCCGAACGCACACCAATACAAAAATGTTTTACGCGCAGCTAAACCATTTCTTGTTTGCAATCTTAGTGTTTTATTTGTTACTAAGAGATATTATACGGTTCTAGATTTACACAATGAATTCATGTGCATACTTGAATTTAGACAGCTCGACCATGAATGAATATAAATAAACATCAATAAACGTGGTGGAAATGATCCATCGCTAAAGTGTTGCTGGCTTTTTATGAGCAAATACTTAACCGTAACAGCATTCTCATTTGCAAACGGCTAAGTTACACCAAACTGCATTTAGCTTTACTTTATTGCACAGTGTCGTGAAACAATAGTTTGGACATCCATTAATTAGTTTATGAAACATAAAAACACAAACAAATCCCTCGATGCACTAAAATTGGCATTCCATTTGAACTTTCGTTTAACTGCCATTCAAATGGCTCATACACCCTAGGTTAGACTATAGTAATAGTCGAGCAAAAATGGTCGCTCTGGTTACGTCAATGCAATTCCTTGGCTTCTGCACTCAAACACACACATAGAATGACGACGAAAGAACAAATATTAGATGCAATTTTGGTCAAAACAAGAGAAAATGGCTATTTAAAGTAGAAAATTGATTTTCAAAGGTTGAATAAATTCCTTGGAGTGGTTAAAAATAACAAAAAGACACCGAAAATGTTAGAATTCAACGTTTTTAAATAGGAAAAAGCGAAGAAGTTTGAAGGATAGAAAGAAGAGTAAACAAAAAAATTAAATTGAATGAACAGTAAACACAGTAGTAGAAATGGCACAAACACACAGAGAAGCGTATTTAAATTAAAATCTGTCAGACCATTTGTCAACAGCAAAAATCTACGAGCTAAACTTAGACAAAATGTATTCAAACAAAAATTTGCTTTCCAAATGAATTGAAAACTTTTACTTTTCGTACATATGTTTTTCCCCTTCATTTGAATAGCTCGCAATAAGTTTTTTTCTTCAGCGTTAACGTTGTGTACAATTATGATTATGATGTTGAAGCTTGTCGAAATGTCACTTGATTGATTTGTATCGGAGCGATGATGAGCTAGCTACTGGATGAACTGGCTTAAACGATCGTTGTCGTGTTCGTCGTCATCGTCGTCGGTCTCTCTATATGATCGTTGCGAACGACATGCAGCGATGAGTGTTGTGTTTGCGTCCGATGTATGCGCTAATCGATCACAATCGCCTCCGTTCGCATCCCATTTGTATACCAATTTACAATTCTGCAGTCGCATGCATTGGTGAATGCGCATTGAACAGCAGCCTATGTGTTGCGCGCCTGATGTAAACTCGGTAAACGAGCGCGCGCAAAACAGTCCGGCAAAATTCGGCTCGGTCGGTTACTATGCGCACGCGCATCTAACCATACCGCGATGCGATAAATTCATGGTGTGAAACATGTATTTCAGTCAAGTACGAGAAACTCAACGGCACGGTTGTGTCTATATCACACGCGTCTATATCGTGAATATCTTAAGCCGGATCAAACAAAACGAACGAAACAACAAAATTTTCATTGTAAGTGAATTTGAGTGGCGCACGCACAGCAACAAAACCGCGAGTATACATAGCAAAAGATCGAGAAATAGAGATAGAGCAACGAAAACCAACAAGCATAAAAAAAAAACATTGAAAAGACAAAAAGGAAAATCAAGACATTTTTTATTGAGAGCAAGCAAAATAAATTGAGTGTGTGAATTGATCGTATGTGCATGGATTTGTGTCGGTCGCCTTATTAGATGGTTCATTCTTATTGGTTCTAATTATAACATTTTCAATATATACTGCACATATATACATTCGTATATATTCGAGTTTTTTGGATCGCAGTTCAGTTTGTACGCGCAAAAATACACAAAACGGCGAGAACAACAAAAGATAACAACCGAAAAAAAAGAAGCACAGCCGCATATGTGTGTATCGTTTTAAGTCAGTTTTTTTTCTCTCTAGTTGTTGTTGCTTTCGGTCGAATTTGTCTAATTGCCCGTTTCTCTCATCGAAAATAAAATATTGTGTGTATAAATCATCAGTGGTTTCGATTGTGTTCATTTGTGCAGAAGAAGTTTTAGAAGATAACAAAAAAAAATACAATTTGCTCAATTTTTATGCTAACATTTTGTATATCTATTTATAATTTTATCTTCTTTGATTTACCTCGGCAAAATGCCATCATTGACTAATTTATTTGGCTGAACATGAACATATTCGGAATTGAATTTTCCAGACGTAAAATTCGTGAAATTGAAACAAACACACACGCACACACACACTTCAAAGGCCAACCAGGAGCAAGTCAATACGGCTATAAAAAAGCTATATGTATGCACACTATAATAAAATCGATTTATTTTTAATCACATTACGAAACTAGTTGAAAATTTGCAAACGAACACAAACAACAACATATCAATCGCGCAACTACCTCGCTTTTCTTTCTATGTTCAAAACATTCAACAATAAATGAGAGAGAGAGAAGAAAAAAAAAGGTGCACATTGGAGCTGCAGTTTTTTTTTGCTGCATGAAGTTTAGAGATGAAATCACAAAATGAAATTGAATTCGGTCGATACCGAATGCCATATAGTCGTATGACCGATTGGAATAGACACGAGTAAAAAACAAATGAATAACGTTTGTAGGTTGTGCGATGCACCTCATAAGAGAGAAGAAATATCAAAATTGAATCATTTATCGATTTTGTCCATGTTTCGTTGCTCGTAGTAGCGATCAAATCGCATCTCATACTGATCAAAATGCACAGCAATGGAAACGCAAAAGCAGCGACAACGGCAGCAGCAGCAGCATCAGTAACCACATTGGCGAGTATTCGACGAGTTTGTCATTTTTAAGCCTGCCACTAAATAACGCAATAAAGCACTTTATTTGCGGTTTTCATTCATTTATGAATGAAGTTGGCGGTGGCGACGGTAACAACGGCGACAGTTGTATACCCAGGCAATATATATATATATACTCGACTTATTGCCAATTCTAATGAAATAATGACGCAGTCTCCGATTACCTGTATCTTATATGAACATTCGCGCTCGCCGTCGCCCTCATCAACAATTTTGCATTTGAATGAAAAGTGCAAACGGCAAACTGCCCCCTCATTTGCCATCAATCAATTCAAAATGACTTAGCTTCATAATTTGATTCGAATTCGTTTGGGATTTGAATGCGATTTATGTCAATTTTCGTTAAAATTTCGCATACAATCCGTTTGAATCACATGAAATATTCAGTGAATTGCTTATTTAGACGCAGAAAAAGGTCAACCAATTGTAGGCATTTCCATTTTTTTTTTCTCCAAATCCGAAGAGTTGGAATTAGACGATTTGGATGCAAACGAAAACACCGTGGAAATTAATTGAAATTAACTGCGGAAATTAGCTTGCACTTTCGGTTGGGAAAATGCTAACAAAAAGAGATGAGTGTGGTTTCACCGTTGTTGCGAAATACAAAAATAAATGTGGCCTTCGAGCAGTGAAAATCATCGTCACAACTGTTTTGATTATTATTGTTATTTTCGTTCACTTTGGTTCGGTGTTATATTGTCAAACTGAGTTTGAGTTGTTTGATTGAGACAAACAACGCTTTTTGGCGCACCGACACACACACGCCTTTTTTTTATTACATTTATTTCGGAGTGCTTGTCTAAAAAGCAGTTGCCGGTTTTTTTCCCGATTAAAATGAAACTGACACGCTTTGAATGATCATATGTGCGCGCGCGCGCTCGCTTTCTCTCTCACAACAACATGTTATAGTATAGTATAGAAAAAGTCATTTTATCTTTGGCTTGATTAATGTTTTGACGAAAAGACAACAAATGATTATTGTTGTGTTTTATACACGCGCACGAGAGAGTCTTTTGATGTTGGGCGCACAGCGATTGGGACGGTACCACAAGCAACGTCGTTTATTTATTCGTTTGCGCTAATCTCAGTCTCGAAGAGCGAACGCGCCCGCGTCAGATGGTTTGAATAAAAATGTTTTGTTTCAATGTGCACACATGCACATAATAGCCAGCGCATAAAAAAGAACCGCGCACCAAAATGCCTTCATTCATATATTTCTAATGTTGATTTTGAACAAGAAATAGAAACACAAAAACACCAAATACTCGCTGTATGCAGAATGCATTTGTGTGTGGGTGTATCGAGTACAGGCGGAGAAGAGATGTGGAAAGAAAGAAAAAAACACAGAGAGGGAAAAAGAGCAGCCATCGTAAACGAGGAAAACTTGTAAATATTGCAAAAACCAAACATTCGAGCGTGATATTGTAGCGAATGGTATTCATTTGTTATGTGTGCTAAATGATGCAAAACCAAATGTGTTTGGATAAATTGTGTACGTCGCTTAATGATGTACCAACGCTATTTCGTCCGGGATAAAACAGGGGATTTTCCATCGGATTTCGTCGCTCTTTGATTCGTCGGTTAAACAAAATCTCAGTGGATTTTTCGATAGCGTAACGACACACCAATTCATTAAACGACTGTGTGTGATGCGACAACAACAGGTACTTCTTCGGTATATCAAAAATAATAAATAATGTAGAACGTAAATTCAGAATATTTTTACTAGGCTGTTTGCACGTACATGAAGCGGTGAAGTGAGAGAGAGAGAGAGTGAGTTACCGCGTGCGTGTCCATGAACATACACACGATGCGTTTCTTCGTGCAAGTAATTTTAAATGAAAATGAACACACACACACACTCACACATCCACCAAACATCCATTTTTATAAAGATCGTAGCGTATCGAAATGAAATTATAATAAAAGGGACCATATGTCAAATGTACGTGAAAATAAATCGTTCACGTTTCGAGGCAAACACACAAGTCTGTCGTCTTTTTCTTCGTAGTTCGGATTTCGTTTCTCTCTCTATCTCTCTCTCTCTCTCTTTATGTTCCATGCAATTGTAACTCACCTCGGATTGTGCATGGCCAAATGTGCTGCTGCTGCTGCCGCCTGAGAAATGTTGCTCGCAATTTTGGGCTCGGGCACGTTGTTCAGCCTCAACTCCATAAATAGCATGTAGGCATTTGGTGCTGTTACTGCATACAAGAATCGCCGCTTAAAATAAACATAAAAACATTGAACGTGCGCGCAACTCGCGCTTCGCGAACACACGGGGAGAGAGAGAAAGAGAGGAGCACATCACCAGAGTCGTCTTTACAATGCATCAGGCATATGTTAGGAAAATCATCAATAACACTTAAATTTGTTTGCATATTTTATGAGCCATTTCATCAAATGCAGCCAACTCATCGAAATCCATTGAAAGTCTTAACCACGAATTTCTTCTTTACAGTTTTTAATGCATTACAAAATAGTCGAACGAGCAGGGCAAAGCGGGCTCAAATCATTTTGATGAATTACATTGTTGGCTTTTACTTTCGATTGTGTGAATGTGTGTGCGTACGTGCGTGTATAATTCCGAGAAGCAAGAAGATAGTGTGCGTTGCTTGAGTCATCGTCAAGAGAGCGTGAGTGGATGCTGATGCACTCATCGTACCACATTTTACCATTAAAAGTAACATGAATAAATATCCACATTGATGATACAATGTTGTCAAACAAAGCGTTGGAAAAACGATGGCATTTATAATTCAGTCTACTTTATTGAGGAGTTTCGGGTGAAATCACCATCAATTACATGGGATTTATAGTGTCTGTGGCCATGTCACATTTGTGCCTGTTGTCATCGCCATGCTCTGTTGCTCCCGATGTCTCTTGTTCGCTCACTCTCTCTTTCTCTCTCTCTCACACACATACACACACACACACACTCTCTCTCTCTCTCTCTCTCTCTCTCTCTCTCTCTCTTTGACTCCTTCACTCGTCGACCGATTCCACTGCAACGCAGCAAGCACTTAAATTTCAAGTGATGCAATGACGATAAAGAATCAGTTTTAGAGCAAAAGCGATTTACGCTATTTGTCGCATTTGTCGACACATTGTTGATGATGCGCAAATCACTCACAGCCATACGTCAATCGAGCGCCCAAAATGTGGTCAAACAAACGGTGTACAAGCTGTGATTTTCCATACGAAGAGGAGAAAATCCTTGCAATTTTCACGGATTCACATTTATGCATTGATGATAATATCGCCTTTGGTTAAATCGAGACATTGATTTGTGGTGCGTCGCATCATCATACGGTTTGTTTATATCACACTCAGCATAGTCCCTTCGCTTGGTGTCTCTTTCTCGCTTATTGCATATCATACCATACCGTTCTGGATTGGTGTTCTTTTTTACCTTTAAAAACGCAATAAAAAAAATGTTCAACTAGCAATGCTAGTCAACGTGTGGATTTTATTGCCAATTTTCATGTTAAACTATGTGTTAATCGATTTCAGTTTCGATCAATTCGATACGAAAAAACTGTGCACAGGTTCATCTCATTCTCTCGCCGTCGCCTCGAGAACAATTTTTTTTTTCACTTTTACAATCAAACAATTCCGACTCATTTCGGTCAGTTTTTGCAAGGTAAACCAGTTTTGTTGTTTAAATTCAATTTTATTCTCTCCGTTTTGTGTGTGTGTGTGTTCGTATGTAAATTAAGACGTTTTGGCGATTCGCCGAACGGAGTCGAGAGTTGTTCGACTGAACATGAAGCGCCTTTATGATGTAAGACGAATTTTTTTTATTTTGGAGACACAAATAAAAACATTCAAAAAATAATAAAAGAGCATTGAGAATATTTCGTCTCAGCGCATTGAATTTTTATGTCTTCTCGCATCTCGTTGAAAAGCTTGTTTCTCATTTCTCGTGTAGATTTTATCGGTTCCTTTGGATCGGAAGTGAACGAGAGATAAAATGAATAACAAAATAATAAATTCAATGGCAAAGTGTGTGCTTATTGCTCACCTCATGCTCTACGATCGGCTGTTTACTTATATGGTTATCATAAATGAATGTGGATACTCTTGAAAGTGTTGTGTGTGTGTGTGTGCGAGAGAGAGAGAGAGAGGAGAAGAGCAAAGAGACGCAGAAAAATAAACACACCGAGTATTTTAGCAACGACAACAGGCAAAAATGGGAATTTAAAAAAAAAAGCGAAAAGAAGGTGAACGATGAACTTCATCACACAATACAATACACAAAACGCATGACATCGAAATGAATTTTCGCTGTTTTATATTCTCGCTCTTAACTCATACAACGCGCGCGCACATACCGCAAAATGACATAATCTTCGCACCAGGCTAACACACCGGTTGTGTTCGCAAATGAATAAAACAAAAGTATCAACTCCATTACGTCATTATAGTTAAACGCTTATTGATTGGAGCTTGTTGTTTGTCTTGTTACTTTACGATGCTCGCGCGTTTATGAACTTCTCGATTTTTCGTGAAAATAATAATGTGGAACAATCGATTTCACAAATTAAATGGCCGTGCAATTTTGTCGCTGGTAATTATCGGATTAAATGGATGGCCGCCGGGGATTAGCTGAAATCATCGACGGTGTGTATTCGATGTTCGAGCACGTTAAAGTCTCCGTTGAGACGGATGAGAACACGAAACTCTGCGATGGATATCCGGGACAAGGTGTTTAGATTTCGATATTTCGCCGTCGTTTTGAAAGGAGTTTTGGGCATTTGCATAACATTCTATCGATTTTACCTGGTGTCATCAACCAAAATTAGAAAATGGCCCCGAGAACGAGAGAGCGAGCAGGCGTTCGCACACGTACACACACACACACACACACACACACACACACACACACACACACACAC